AGTCTGGGCTCTACTCAGGTCCGCTCTCTTCACATGATTCTTCTTCGGCTGGGTCATCCTCACTTTCGACCTCACCGAGACTCCATTTGCCTGGGCTGGACCTTCATCAAACAGCCATGCTATATCTACATCGATATCTTCCACTGGTTGAATCGACACTGTATCATCTTCTCCAGCGTCTTCCTTGTCGGCCACCTCTGCCTTCCTCACTACCGAGACGGGGTACTCAATGGCTTGGCGGTCTCCTGACCCATCCCCTCGGATGTCAGTCAGGTTCACACTCTCAGGTGTCCCACACGTGCCGTGGCCTTCTGGGCACTCCTCTGGCACAGTCTCCACTATGACTCTTGGCAACACCTTTGTCCCGCACAAGTCATTCCCCAGGATCACTTGGACTCCTGGAATAGGTATGTCGGGGCACACTCCCAACATCACCTCTGCCGACACATATTCCGACCTTAGCTGGACAGTACATACGGGCATGTCACTTTCAGACAACAACCCATATACCTTCATCTTACTCCTGCCAGCTAACCGTCGATCATTCCCAATCAGGCTTCTCGTAATCAAGCTCTGATTAGCTCCGGTATCTCTTAAGATACCAACTTCTACCTCAGGTTGGCCTCCTATACTGATCCAACCTTTGCTCATGAACGGCCTATACCTCTCGTTCACTAAGTTCGCTCTCTGTGGTTTGTCTCGGAACACATTAGTATATTTACCTCGGGGGTCACACATGGCCAGGGTCACAACTCTCTTGCCCTGCCGACAATCTCGCATCACGTGACCCAATCCGTTACAATTGTAACATCTCATCTGGGTAAAGTCTCTTCTATATGTACCAGAGTAGCTCTGACTCTGCCCACTCACATGAGAATTCCTCGGGCCAGGTACACTACTTGCACTCTGTGGGGTTCTACTGGACTCTTGATTTCCAGGATAACGATTAGTTTCTTGTTTAGCTCCTCCATCTTCACTTTCAGACGAAGTGCGCGACCTACTCTTCTGAGTTTTAGGGTACTTACTTTTATCTGCCCATTTATCAAAATTTTTCTCACCCCAGACTCTTCTGGGTCTTTCATAATTTCTTCCTCCCCAGACTCCATTGGATCTGCAATTGCTGCGTCTCGCCTCGCTTCTCACTCTGTTCTCCCTCAAGCTCTTGTATGCTTCAGTAATCATATCCGCCCTATCTGCGGCATCTTTCACCTCCATTATCCCTGCTTCTTGGATCTTGAACTTTGTTTCGGGATGCATCATCTCCAAGAACTTCTCAATGACCATCAGTTGCTTCAGGTCAGCGTAAGATCCAACTCCAGCAGCCTCAATCCACTTCTGGAATCGTCTTTCCAGATCTCTTGCTGTCTCAGCAAACGTACACGCTCCAACTTTGATCATCTCTCTGAAGCGCTTCCTATAAGCTTCTGGGGTTAACTGAAACGAGCGCAATATGCTGCTCTTTACTGTGGCATAATCCTGGCACTCTTCCAGTGACAATTGGGTGTATGCCTCCCTGGCTGCACCGGTCAATCTTAACTGGACCAGCTGGGCCCATTCCTCCTGTGGCCACTCCTTGATACTGGCTACTTTCTCAAAATGCTCGAAGAAGCTCTCTGCCTCTTCGGGCACAAACAAGGGAATGTCCTTCTCCCTAACCCTAACCTCTGGTGGGTGTGATACCTGGGTGGTGCTCTCTGGCAACCCATGTTCAATCCTCTGCTCAGCCAAGGTTCTATTCGCTTCTATCTGCATTTGTTTTGTTCTCTCTTTTTCTTTTTCGACCTGGGCTTTTTCTTTTTCGACCTGGGCTTTTTCTTTTTCGACCTCTAGTCTTGCTTTCTCTTTTTCTTTCTCCTGTTCCAACTCCAGTTCTCTTACTCTGGTTTTCTCTTTTTCTACTTCCAGTCTGGTTTTCTCTTTTTCTACTTCCAGCCTGGTTTTCTCTTTTTCCTTCTCGGCTTCATTTTTCATCTGGAGTTCTAATTTCATCTTTTCCAGCTGGAACTGTCTCTCCTCACGCTGTTGTTGGATCTGGAGCTCTAACTGGAATCTCTCCAAGCTCCTATTTCGGCTACTCCTACTACTGCGGCTACTCTTGCTGCTCCTACTCGATCCCTGGGATCTCACTTCATCCTGCCCATCATCCTCCTTTCCACTTTCAGCTCCTTTTTGGGCTCCTTGCTCTGCCGCTTCACTTCTGGCTCTCAACTGTCTAAGGATCTCATCCTTCATCCCAGCTACTTTAGATGCTTTCAACCTGATGCCACATTTTTCTGCTATCTGTTTCAATTGATCCCTCGTGCAACCTTCCAAGTCCTCAGGCTTGCCTGACTCCACAAATGCTTGCACCTTATCCATCTTTGTCCTGTGAGTCTTCCCAAGAGAGAGAGTATACACCTGCGGTCACACAGTTTATCTCAGCAGGGGTGTACAAATCCACTCTTGGACAGGGTGTGGGTGTGTCAGTTCACTCTCCCGGACACAGGCCCCCAATTTATTATAGACTGTGGGTTGGTTGGTGTTGTCGTCGTCGATCCTTCTCTATGGACAACCCAACTCACAACTCGGCAGAGTGCTTATACTAGGAGATCACCCTTGGCGCTTCTGGCTCTTGGAGAGGGGCTCAACGTCACACGTTTAGGGGATGCGGCTCCAACACTTAGCCTCGTTGTCACGTGCACACACCCACTCGAGCCGCTGTGACTCCCCACTCTCTCCTTATGAGATATGATCTCCTCAATCCCCCTATGACTTACTAGTATTACCTCCTACCCTGTCCACAGCAGTGGTTCATGGTTCTTTCTCTCTCTCTCTCCTTCTTTACTACCTCCTGGGAAGCCTCACTAGGACAAGGGCAAACACCAGCAAATTGTGACACATTTACTGAACAAAGCACATACACGATACATACACACATATAATAATAATGAATCCTATACTCTATAATATCACAATCAGGTTGCACTCCAACACCATCAGAACTCTATTATCAGCTTATCAAGTGGTATCCTATCTCATGGTTCACCACCTGATACTATCAACCTCCTCAAGTTGATCAAGTCTACATACACTGTTGCACCATCAGCATGATAACATATATATAGAAAATCAGCATTTGAATGCAATAACATATACCAGTATAAATGTTCATTGATACTTCAGTATAAAAAAACTCCTTGACGCAAGAATGCCAACAGTCACTCACCTCTCACTGCGTCTTGCACGCTAATGACAACCAAACACTATCAACTCCCTACTATTAATCCACCAGAACTTCCCCTTCCACCTCTGGAAGTTCACAACCCTAATATCCTTAGGTTCTTCTGGGCTTCACTACCAGGATCCTCTGCAGCTTCTCCAGGCTGCTATCATGAAGTTTCCTTGAGTAACTACGGTGCTTCACCCTTCTGCTAGGTTCCTCCACAGCTCTCTTGGCTGCTACACCATGAAGTTTCCCCGAGCAACTGTGGTGCTTCTCCACCTCTACAGAAGCACGTGACACTCCTCTTCACTGCTGCTTCTCCTCACAGCTCGAGGTCCTCTGCTCCCCTACCTTGGAGTCTCATCAGCTACTTCATCTGCTGGCTTCGAAGTCCTCAGCAACTTCTTCCCCAAAAGACAAACCTGCAACCCATCGACACTCCAATAAAATGTTCCCCTTTAACACAAACAAAAAATATTCACACAATATGTTTGCCTCAAACCTCTATCTGTTCTCTACATACAGTGAGAGTGGACTCCCCCGTTTTGGGCGGGTCCATACTCCACCTCGCCTGGCGGCGGTCCTCACTCACTGGGAGGGTCTTCCTCCGTCAAGAGCCAGGCTCCCTCAGTCTTCCGCCAGCGCTCAGAGGGGACGGACGTCGCTCCGTGTTCCTCCCTCTCCACTCTCTTATTTCAGGCTTTCTGCCTTATTAAAATATGTCTAACTTATAAATAAACATCGCTACTGTCGCTGGGCACACGACCAAACTACAAGCGATCACTAACCACAGGTGTGCCAGGGATCACTAACCACAGGTGTGGGCGCTCCACAGGGATCACTAACCACAGGTGTGCCAGGGGTACGTCCGCACACTCACTAACCACAGGTGTGGCAGGGACCACTAACCACAGGTGTTCACGCCTCAGGTGTGGCCAGGGACCACTAACCACAGGTGTGGCAGGGACCACTAACCACAGGTGTGCCAGGGACCACTAACCACAGGTGTGGCAGGGACCACTAACCACAGGTGTGGCAGGGACCACTAACCACAGGTGTGGCAGGGACCACTAACCACAGGTGTGGCAGGGACCACTAACCACAGGTGTGGCAGGGACCACTAACCACAGGTGTGCCAGGGACCACTAACCACAGGTGTGGCAGGGACCACTAACCACAGGTGTGGCAGGGACCACTAACCACAGGTGTGGCAGGGACCACTAACCACAGGTGTGGCAGGTGTGGCAGGGACCACTAACCACAGGTGTGGCAGGGACCACTAACCACAGGTGTGGCAGGGACCACTAACCACAGGTGTGGCAGGGACCACTAACCACAGGTGTGGCAGGGACCACTAACCACAGGTGTGGCAGGGACCACTAACCACAGGTGTGGCAGGGACCACTAACCACAGGTGTGGCAGGGACCACTAACCACAGGTGTGGCAGGGACCACTAACCACAGGTGTGGCAGGGACCACTAACCACAGGTGTGGCAGGGACCACTAACCACAGGTGTGGCAGGGACCACTAACCACAGGTGTGGCAGGGACCACTAACCACAGGTGTGGCAGGGACCACTAACCACAGGTGTGGCAGGGACCACTAACCACAGGTGTGGCAGGGACCACTAACCACAGGTGTGGCAGGGACCACTAACCACAGGTGTGGCAGGGACCACTAACCACAGGTGTGGCAGGGATCACTAACCACAGGTGTGGCAGGGACCACTAACCACAGGTGTGGCAGGGACCACTAACCACAGGTGTGGCAGGGACCACTAACCACAGGTGTTGCAGGTGCGGGAAGGGTCGACAGTGGTGGCAGAATACAACAACACAGAGCCCAAGTTCAACATCACCTCCCTGGCGCCAGGCAGAGACTACATGTTGTCAGTGTTCACCAGTCACGTCAAGGCTCGCGGCCACCCCACCACCTTGATCATGAAGACCCACACCCCCAAGGCCGAGCAGGTCGCCCCAGAGAGAGTCTCCGTCAACTGTGAGTGTGTGGTGGTGTTGGTGTGTGTGTGTGTGTGTGTGTGTGTGTGTGTGTGTGTGTTTGTAAGTGTGTGTGTGTGTGTGTGTGTGTGTGTGTGTGTGTGTGTGTGTGTGTGTGTGTGTGTGTGTGAGCTTGCATTGGTTAAGGGTTTGTTAAACCTGTTCTCTTTCCTCGCTGTCGGATTAATTCAGTCACCTACAACCCTCTTTGTTGTTTAAGATTCGCTACTTGGAACAAAAAGTTCCAAGTAGCACGGACTATGGTGAGCCCGTAGTTCACACATCCTGGTTTCATTGATCTCCAGTAACCCAATTCCACTTGGCTACCAGTTCATTAAAGTGGTACTGTGCTACCAGACTATGGTACTATGGTATCCTTCTTTGGATAATTGCTTACTTGTGTATTTTTTACTCTATAGTTTTCCCCCTTGCTGGAGCCTACTCACGCATTGGAGCTATTTTTATTTATTCAAATATAATTTGGTTATATTTACGATTTGGCTTTATTTAGGTAAATAGGAAGTATGTATGTGTGAGATCATTTTATTTCCATGGTATTTAGCGTGTTGTATTATGGATAAGAGTTTTAACTCCTTTTATATGTTTATTTGAACGTTCAATTATTTACTAATTTATAATCTTATCAATACTTATCTGTGCTTGTTTTAAATTTAAATTTTATTTATAATGATGAAGACAAATATTATTGTTAATAGATTGTTTTTCTTAGAGAATAATAATTTATAAATGTCTTACAGAATATATATATAATATGAATATATGTGAATGTGAATATGAATAATATGTGAATATACATATTAATACAGGATATCCAAATGACAGGAATATAAACATTTAGACAGACGTTCACAGACGGAAACAGGATCACGATTGGAAGAAAAAACTATTTACAAACAAAGGATAGAGCCAAACGGGTGAATAATGAGAGGCCCCTAAGAGATAATATTTGTCTTGTCTATACACAGTAAACAATCACGGAGAGGAGCCTCCGCCCCTTACGGACGACTCTCCGGTGAAGCCTGGAGGAACCCCGGTGAGCGTGGTGGTGTCTGGGGTGGTGGTGGGCGTGGTGGTGGGCGTGGCAGTGGTGGTGGCGGGCGTGGTCACCTGTAGGGCCCGCCACGCCCAGAGGAACTCCCCGGGGAAGACCCACCAGCATCACAACGCTTCCAGAAACTCGCTTCTGGAATTGCCTCAAGGAGCATTGTACCAGTCCTACACCAGGCATCCTTCCTGTGGTGAGTCCTACGCCAGTCAGCCTTCCTGTGGTGAGTCCTGTACCAGTCAGCCTTCCTGTGGTGAGTCTTGTACCAGTCAGCCTTCCTGTGGTGAGTCCTGTACCAGTCAGCCTTCCTGTGGTGAGTCTTGTGCCAGTCAGCCTTCCTGTGGTGAGTTCTGTACCAGTCAGCCTTCCTGTGGTGAGTCCTGTACCAGTCAGCCTTCCAGTGGTGAGTCCTGTACCAGTCAGCCTTCATGTGGTGAGTCCTGTACCAGTCAGCCTTCATGTGGTGAGTCCTGTACCAGTCAGCCTTCCTGTGATAAATCCTGAATAGCGATCAGCCCTATACACGGTCCTGTTAATTCTTATTTCTGAAGTAAGTCCTTAGCTGACAGTCTTTCTGTAATTCAGGTCCGAATCATAGAGGCATTAGCATACTAGGTATAGAGCTGGCAAACTTGGAACTCTATTTTATACTTAAGAGTCGATTTGCCTGAGATTAGGTATACACACCTGCAAGTCATATGATGTGCAAAGAGGAGCCAGATGTGTATAGGTGTAGGATGTCACAGTATTGTCTTAAGAGTTTGCTTAGGTCTTAGACTAAGTTCAGGATTAATTGCTTATTGGTCAGTTTGTAGGGAGTGAAATTAAGAATTGTTGTAAAGGTGATTATTGGCCGGATGGACGCGGATTGTGAATTGTGATGATGTGTTCGTGGATTGTGGTGACGAGTTCCTGGATTGTGAAGTGTGATGATGAGTTTCTAGATTTGATTATATTCCTCGATCATATATATATTGCTCAATGTCATTTATGTTTGGGGTTTGCAACACCTGACAGATGATGAGTAGTGTGATCATCATAGGTTTGATGAGACGATCAACCCATATCTGGGAACACGTCAATCATGACAGGTTTGGAAGACGATAGGAGATTGCATAAAGATTATGAAGAATGAAAAAATCACTTCATTAATTAGTTCAGTTTTTTAATAATTTACACACAAAGGGGGCGGGGGAGACACTGTTTACTTAGAGTGTTTGCGTCTTAATACCTTATGCACATCTTCTCCTGGAAGAAACGTTTAACGGTACTCTTTTTCTCTGTCTCTATCTCCATTTCTCTCTTCTCTTCATATCTCTCTTCTGTGTCTTCTCTCTCTTCTGTTTCTTCTCTCTCTTCTGTTTCTTCTCTCTCTTCTGTTTCTTCTCTCTCTTATGTTTCTTCTCTCTCTTATGTTTCTTCTCTCTCTTATGTTTCTTCTCTCTCTTATGTTTCTTCTCTCTCTCTGTCTCTTTCTCTCTCTCTCTCTCTCTCTCTCTCTCTCTCTCTCTCTCTCTCTCTCTCTCTCTCTCTCTCTCTCTCTCTCTCTCTCTCTCTCTCTCTCTCTCTCTCTCTCTCTGACATACACACACACACCATGGAGCTTACAGCTGCAAAATACACTAACTGTCTCTGAATTATCTTTCAGAGCTGTTGACAACGTTCTCCCCAGGACCCGTGGTTGTGACACAGGTAACTTCCGGGCGGTCGTCCAAGCGCTCGTCTCCACTTTTCCGAAAATCCTCCACCCGAAGCGCCCCTGGGGGCCCCTCCCCCAGGGGCATGCGGCCCCGAAGCTCCTCGTGCCGCGGGGGTCCAGTCCACGTGTTGGAGGTGGAGGCCGACGACATCACCACCCCGAGAGTGGAGATCCAGTCGCCCTCCAGGCTGTCGAGGCTAAGCTTGAGGAGCGAAGCCTTCAGACTCCGAGACTCTCCCTCGCCTTTATCGCTGCAGTGTGAGGCCTTGCAGCAGGCGGAGTCTCAAGCTGAACTGCACCTGGTGGCCCAGGGTGAGGCTCAGGGTGAAGCTCAGTCTGCATCTCGCGTTCATCTCCAGTCATTCTCAGCATCCCATCTGCGTCCTTCATCCCAGCAGCGCGTCTCACCTCAGCCTTATGATGCCGTGATGCTGCAGCATCTTCATCCCCAGGTTCACACTATCCCTCACACGGTGCCGCAGATCACACTCACGTCACAAGCTCACACGGCGTCTCACCCTGATCTAGCCTCCTCCCAGCCTCTCCCTGAAGACCTGCCTCATACTCAGTTACATCCCTCCATCTTGACACGGAAGTACAGCACGGCGTCACTCCGTGGTGACTGCCCTGGTCGGTCTTCCCCCGTGTCCCACACCGGCACGCCCCCACACACTCCGTGCACACTACACACTACAACCCTCCCACGTAACCTGCATCACACTCCCACTCTCCCACACAAAGTTATACAGCCACTAGCAGCAGCAGCACCCACACCACCACACACAGCCACACTAACACACACAGCCACACACTACACAACCACACTCACACAGCCACACCACCACACACAGCCACACTACCACACACAGCCACACATCCTCACCCCAGTACACATCAACATACCGTTTCACTCCCTCACACGACTACACCGCCTTACACAGGTCCAGCCCCTTACACAGGTACTCTCTCCCCTTTGGTAACAGCTCAGGTTCGACCAGCAGTGCGTTCTGTGGCCTCCCAGCCGCAACCGGTTCATCCAAATCCCCATTTCTCCCAGTCCCCAGCGCAAGAACCACTGGAACCTAACCATTCCCACACAACCCCTCACCTAGAACCACCTATAATACAATGTAGTTCACCTCAAAGTGCTTCAATAAAACTTTATCCAACTTTTCGGTAGTCTGGTTGTTTATTAATCCTAACTTTGAGAAAATACGTTTTTTTGCAACGAAGCAGAAGGAATGATGATTGGCTGGTGTTTGCAGCTCTCTTCTACGGTTATTTGCAATTAATTCTCAAGTTGCAAAACATCTAATGTGTGTAAATATGTACTAAATCAGGAGAATCTGTACTCTCGTGATACTTATTAATGTGACAGGAAGGAAGTTAGAAACTACACAGCCATACATAATGATTTGTAATCAACAGTATGAGAGAGAGAGAGAGAGAGAGAGAGAGACTAGTTTAAGAAAATAAACTTCACCGTTAGCAGGCACCATGTGGTCTATTTAATAGACTACATAAATTAGTTAATAGACTACATAAATTAGTTAATAGACTACATAAATTAGTTAATAGACTACACAAACCACTACCTTACAATACATGCTCAGGATGTGTTCGTCTGAGTTACAATCCATCATCCTCGTGTTATGCTGGTCCAAGATGCGACCAGTCCCAGCACGCATTTCTTAATAACGAATTATTTAACGATAAAACGACATATTCTCACTTATAGATTAATATTAATGACTAATATAAGTTTGTGCAAAGTTATGCTTACATTATGTGTTTTGGTTCTGTTGGCAATGATTAAAATTGGAACGCGTGAGTGAAGCGTTAAGTGAGCAGAGATTCGAACACAGGTAGAGCCAATTAAGCGCTTTAATAAAAGCTCCAAAGTATTGAGCCCTATTTAGAGAGCTTTTTTGCTCATAATCAAGGAGGTTGGGCATCAGAATTTTTAGTTTTTACAAAATATTTTACAAAATATTTTACAAAATATTCATAATAAACTGAAGACACGAACCTCGTGGCGAGACTTGTGTTAAAACACGTTCCGAAATCCAGTCTGAAAAACGGGATTAATCACCACTACTATTAGCTTGTTGTGTTTTAATTTTCAACAGACCGTCCTCAAACATCTGGCAGATGCTCTTTAAGGCCACCAACTCGTCTAGTCTGTTCATGGACTAAAATAATTTTACATTCACAACTGATATCGATCGAACTTTTCTTGAACAATGTTCGTTGACCTCCCTGTCTATGAATTACATTTCTCTAAATGCTTCACTCAAGGGACTACAAAGGCCAAATACATCCCAATGCAGCCAAACGTTTCGTTATACACAGATTTAAAATATTATTAATATTAATTTATTTTCGAGCAAATAGTTGTTGTTATTAAATAATACATTAGTGTTGTTGAAAGTTTCTTTGAGAGTGGAGAGCAGCTCAAACGACCTCAGAATGAGTCGTTGGAGGTCGGGCGAAGCTCAGACGAGCACAGAGTGAGGTATGAACCGTTTGGCTCGGCCACAGCTTGGCCAAGCATGGCCCGAGGGAGTGCGAGCTGTGTTGATACGGGTTCAGCCTCAGGAAGCACTCGGGAAGTGAAGAAACAGCCCACACGGCTTCTCCCTCCAAGCGCCGTGTTGACCATTAAACGTCATTACTGCAGTTAAGGTAACAAGCAGACTTTCTTTTAATACTTGTGATGTAAAACTCTGGGGGTCATAAAGCAATTATAAAGGATAGTTTTACGTCAATTTCTTCAGTGGGTCTTTAAGATGGTAGTTTCTCAGAAGCCTAATTTTCTGGCCAAATAGATCAAAGAAAAAAACGAGCTGACGGAGAGGTAGTTAGTGTTCTGAAGCACTTTACTTTGTACAGTTGAGTCGTTACTCAAGTAGGTTAGGATTACCTGTTCCGAAACACTAGTGTAGGCTACTAGGAGTGGTAGCTAGCAGTATACATGCGTGTTGTGTAGGCTACCAGGACTAGTGACTAGCAGTATACATGCGTGTTGTGTAGGCTACCAGGACTAGTGACTAGCAGTATACATGCGTGTTATGTAGGCTACCAGGACTAGTGACTAGCAGTGTACATGCTTGGGACTTAATTTTATTTTCCTTTTTAATATGAATATATGAATTCAAATCAAAAAACTTTCTATAACCTTATAGCGTAGTTAGAGACGTACAAACCCAAACAACCCCCCTAACGTATCGACTCCGATGCGGAGGAAACGTGAATCATTGGAAATCGATACTTTTGTGCTTAATAGGTTGCATTTATAACGTTTGTATGATGAGTTTTAAAGGGTAATGTACTTAACGCTGTCCACACACACCGTTTGGCTTAGAGTAGTACAGTCGTTACATCAAACCTGTTGATGGATATGGATAAGGCAGGTGGATGAGGGGCTGCCAGAGATTATCTCCTAGGTGATTGGTGGACGAGGGGCTGCCAGTGATTGTCTCCCAGGTGATTGGTGGACGAGGAGCTGCCAGTGATTGTCTCCAAGGTGATTGGTGGACGAGGGGTTGCCAGAGATTGTCTCCCAGGTGATTGGTGGACGAGGGGCTGCCAGAGATTATCTCCTAGGTGATTGGTGGACGAGGGGCTGCCAGTGATTTTCTCCCAGGTGATTGGTGGACGAGGAGCTGCCAGTGATTGTCTCCCCTATCGTTAGAACAACTAACACGTCGCATTTTTTAACGGAATCGACCAATCCCTTAAAACAGACACGTATTTGTAAAAAGTTGAAGTAATATTACCTTTTTTTTAAGGGTCGGCCTCTATAGATTAGGTAAGTCGCAACTTTCCGGTTAGGCCAAACCGTCGTTATTTGTTACGTAATGGCACATCTGGAGACCGTTCAGGATTTGGAGCCCCAGCACACCAACTTGTCCTACATAGTACGTATAGCAACTATTTCCTCAAACGTACAAAAATGGACTGTTAGATCGCGATATTTTTCTTATCACTTTTTGGTATTATTACAGTTTTCCAAATGGCCTACCTAAACAAATATAAAGGTTAAAAGCTGAACCTAACCTGTCCAAGGAGTAAATAAGCCATTATAGGCCTATAGTTCGTGCATCTTCGACCATATATATATATAATATTAGTAATATAATATATGCTATACTGGGCATAGTATTCTTGTGCCCTCGACAAAATTATTATTACACAAGTAAACACTATTGGCTATAACTGTCCATTTGTGTACGTTCAATGTTATTGTTGTTAAAGATTCGCTACCTGGGAACAAAAAGTTCCAAGTAGCACGGGCTATGGTGAGCCCGTAGTGACTTGTACGTTCAATCAAGGAACTGCAGATAGTGCTATTACTTTAAGTAGCTGGGTTACATGCACTGCAACGCAACATTATGCAACGAGACTTTGAAATAATTTTCAACTTTTTCAACTCTTATGCATTTTCTTGTGCGTGATTTACAACCAGTTCACAATTATCAGCCGATTATCAGTGATACAAGCGTACAGTATGTGTGTGTGTGTTTGGGTTGTGTGTGAAAAGTATACATATCTCTATGTTGATTTATATAAAATATACTTTTATTTTGTTTATTTATAAACAAAAAATCTAGTCTTGGTGAGTGGTCTATGAGTCTTTTTTTTTTTTATCTCGTAGAGCCACACAGCCATCACAGCTTGGCTGATCCAATACCTCGAGAAGAAAGAGCATATTCCCAGTACATTTATGTCTAGTAAATACCATACAGTTTGCACGCTTACATGCGGGGCGTATAAATATAGATATAATTGGTGTGTGAATTTGGGGAAATACACCCTCGCTCTGAGCCTAGTGTGAACACTGAACAATACACCCAGGGCCTGTGCCCACTGTGAACATTGGACAATACACCCAGAGCCTGTGCCCACTGTGAACATTGGACAATACACCCATGGCCTGTGCCCACTGTGAACATTGGACAATACACCCAGAGCCTGTGCCCACTGTTAACACTGAACAATACACCCAGGGCCTGAGCCCACTGTGAACACTGGACAATACACCCATGGCCTGAGCCCACTGTGAACACTGGACAATACACCCAGAGCCTGTGCCCACTGTTAACACTGAACAATACACCCATGGCCTGAGCCCACTGTTAACACTGAACAATACACCCATGGCCTGTGCCCACTGTTAACACTGGACAATACACCCAGAGCCTGTGCCCACTGTTAACACTGGACAATACACCCAGAGCCTGTGCCCACTGTTAACACTGAACAATACACCCATGGCCTGAGCCCACTGTTAACACTGGACAATACACCCAGGGCCTGTGCCCACTGTGAACACTGGACAATACACCCATGGCCTGTGCCCACTGTTAACACTGGACAGTACACCCAGAGCCTGTGCCCACTGTGAACACTGAACAATACACCCAGGGCCTGTACTTAGTGTGGGAAGTCTTTTGGTTCGTACAGCAGATATAACAATTTACTATTTCCTTTGGAAGTCGTGTCTGTCGTTTGTCATGTAAAGGAACTAATTACTTGCCTATGCTAATGTAATCACTTGATTCTCTAGGAAACCTAAATACATGTGTATTGTATTCCTTTAATTTTCTTCAATGTGGATCGACACAGATCATGTCTATACAGAACAAACAATATATGTTTTGGTGAACATTTTTTTTCAAAACTAATAGATTTCTCTTGTATTTTTTCCTCATTTAATGGTGAGTTTATTGGATGTTGTAGTTGTGGATAAAAGGTTTAGTTAAACTAGTTTTCGAAAGTTTATCTGTAAAGTTGTGTGCACTCTTGAGCCTTGTGAAATTTAAGGCAACGGATGTGTGGTATTTGGTATACCGAGAACAGTTCCAAGCTGAACAATATTGAAATATTTTAATTTCATGATAATTCGTCGCAACATGTTCAGAGTAAGTGATGTTTAGTTACATTATGAGATTTATTCTGCAGGTGTTTGAGTGTGCATAAAAGCAGGTGTTTATGCATAATGATTATGTTCCTTTAGTTCATTCAGTTTTACCCACCACTTTTATGCTAAAGGAAAGCTCTCTAACTGTGCCCTTCTTTTTCCACTCGGTCAAGCTCCCTATGTATTTTATACGTCTCTATCATGTCTCCCCCGTCCCTCTACTCTTTTTCTAGCGTTATTAGGTGTAATTCCTTCA